CTCACGCCACCAACAAATATCTCACCGCCACCAACAAATATCTCACCGCCACCAACAAATATCTCACGCCACCAACAAATATCTCACCGCCACCAACAAATATCTCACCGCCACCAACAAATATCTCACACCATCAACAAATATCTCACCACCAACAAATATCTCACGCCACCAACAAATATCTCACCGCCACCAACAAATATCTCTCCGCTATCAACAAACTCATTAGAGAAAAAATCGACACAATACGTAACGTTTTACATTGAAACATTTATTTTATTCATTAGCCCATTCATTAGTAACAATTACCAAATAGGATACTATAGAAATAAATAACATAAGTAGGGTTCTTAAAAACCGTATTCATGGGCAGAGAAATCCCTCAACGAACAAAATATTGATCACCAGTGAAGCATTTTTTAAACAACGACATAACCAAACTCCGTAGAAAAGATTTAAGTTCCATAAAAGACGCTTACCCACATTCACCGAGCCGGCTAATAGGATACACTAGTTAAAAAAAAAAACCATGTAAAAACTAAGAGAAATGTTATTAGCTCTCTTTTCCTCGCTATTCTAAAGCAGTGTAAGAGAAGAATTGTAGAACTTAATTGATGAGTGACAGGGTAGTTATTTGAAGAAATACAGCTTAGACATTTTAACTATACACATTATTTATATTATATATACACACACATGTATATATATATATATATATATATATATATATATATATATATATATATATATAATACAATAAGTATGTAAAAAAATATTATATATATATATATATATATATATATATATATATATATATATATATATATATACATATATATATATACATATATATATATATATATATACATATATATATATGCATAGAGTAATAGTAGTGCGCATTAGTAATAATTATAAACAATTATAAACAATTAATACATAACATGTGATCAATTAAAAAACAACTACATAACCGTTGTCTCTCGCACAATTCTAGTACTAACATAAGCAATAGTAAAACCATAAAAGAGCGTGAAACAACAGTCGCGTCCACGACACATATCTGTGGGGACGTGCTAGAAGTGTCATTCATAGACCCGGTAACACAATGTATTGTCTCTGCCAGAATCAATACATCTTGTGTTAAACGCTTTTAAAAAGATAATGCTAATAATGCAAACGCAGCATAACTGTCAAAAAAGATGGATTGTCGATGAATACGTCCTTTCTATTTGCCATAAAAAATAAAATTGTATACAATCTGCATGCGAGAATTTGAGATTTTTTAAAGAGATTGTACTGGTTGTATCTCCTGTTACGCTACGGGGCATAATAGTTCTAATGCAATTATATTTCACTGCAGAAGTATTTGTACTTCAGTCATGTACAATACATAGCCACGGTTAGAGTGAAGGCAACGACACAAGCAAAATCCCCATAACAGCTTCATGTGACTTGAGAACTTCGAGTGTCACAGAATGAGGGTAAGCTAGGGTATGTAAAGCTGAGAAGGCATGTCAGCCCTACCAATAGACACACAAACGCACGTTTAAATTGTATGCAGTAGGATCGTTTACTAGATGAACTTCATTTATTCACCCTATAACATCACCACAAGATGAAAGAGACAACTGTTGGCGTTGGATTTTTATCTTAGAGTAGCTCATCGTCCAACAGTGCTGGCTACAGGTCAAGGTCACTAAAAGCCACGCAAACCGTCTCCTCTACACCTGACAAGGAACAGAATATTGGCCAATCCTCTTCTCCCCCGGCCACTAATAGTGTGAGTACAACGCAGACAAGACGATGGCCAACCAAATGTATCTCAACAAGGTTAAGTATCCGAGGAAGCCTTGTCAGACGCTACTTATATCACGACATTAGGGCTTTTCCCGATAAGGTTAATATTCTGGAAAATCGCATTCGAGAATTAGGTCACCTGGTAATAGCTTGAGTGTTGCTAAAATAAGACAGCATGTAAAATCTGGACAAGAAGCGAGATCTTAGAAAACTCTTGAGCATTACAGAGAAGTTATGGTTTTACATTCACATTTTGGTACACGACTAAAATTTAAAAAAAAAAAAAAAACAACAGCTTTGAGCCATAAAATATTTGTTTAAATGTGAAAGATTAAAAGTTTGGCTTACAAAACGTGGAAAGTACAACTATATAAAATCACCGGTTGTTGACGATTTCGAGACACACAAAAGGGGTACTCATTTAGATTTTTTTCGGCGACACTCTAAAGTCGCAGCTGGAGCATAATTCGGCTATGTTAATTTTAACGTTAACGGAGCAAGCCTAAGTCGGGTAGATTAGAACAACGAAGCTTACAGTTAATTTAAAAACATTTTTTGTAGTTTGTAGTTCATCAATACCGTACTAACTAGGGGTGAAAGACTGGCTATGAGCAATGGTGTCGAGCATGATTGTGATAAAGAAGAGGCAGGGGAGCGTGTAAAAATGTAGCGTCTTTGTGTTCAAGTGTCGGGGTGTGAGTGTACAAGCAGCCCACGGGCCACTCACACTAGACCCGTGTCCCCAGACGACTGCAGGAAAAATAAAATCAATTTCAGCGTCCTCAAACACCTCGTGTTTGCTGTACATACACGGCTTCAGAGCTACAGGATTCAATGGGACAGCACGGGGGGGGGGGGGGTCTGCATCAGAGGAGCCTGGGGTGGGGGAGAGATAGCACTTAAATAAACTTGGACAGCTGATGACGTAGCCGCATAAGCCTAATGAAGTCATCGACACATAATGACCACCGTTATCATAGGCACAGAACTTACTGATGTCATAGACGCACAGGCCTACGGATATCATAGATGCAAGGCACAGACACAAGACCCAGATCACATTTTCATAATCAAAATTGAAACATTTTTCAATTCTTAAAGAAAAAAAAAATATCGTTTACGACGCCATGTGCCATCGTATATTCATTTAAAAAAAATTGTAATTACCACAAGCACCGTTTTCAAACAAGTTGAACATTTTATGTCAATACTAAGTATGCATAAACAACAGGTTGTATATCAAGGTGAGGAAAGCTTAGCCCACATAACGTGGAGTACAAGACCTTCACAGCCAGCCATGTCTACAGAACTTGTCTAGTGACGCCAGTATTTGCTCGTCATTACCTCGTAACTTCATTAGCTCTTTGTGTAAATATTCGCAAGTGTGTTTAAAACGTGGTAAGCGGTACCAATACCAACATTACGTAACGGAATAAATAATCCCGATGTTGAATAAAGCTATAAATACGTGTAGAGTTGTATATGTATAAACATGTATGTATAATAGTTTATAAACTGCGCGAGCTAAAATTTCAACCTTATCGAAACATCTGCGGATTGTTATTGTAAAACGATTGTGTCGTGTTTTAAAAGCTGTATATTCAAACAAGAAAACGTGTGTGGGAGACAATTGCGGTTTGGTATGATTGTTTAATATGTCAGCGCTACAAAAAAAGACAGGCTGTTCCTGGCTAGATGTCCGGGTTTAATACCTCAGACAGACAGACAGACAGACAGACAGACAGACAGACAGACAGACAGACAGACAGACAGACAGACAGACAGACAGACAGACAGACAGACAGACAGACAGACAGACAGACAGACAGACAGACAGAAAAAAGATCCCTTATAAGAAATAAGGTTGAACACAATGCAAGCAAACTTGACGATTAAATTAAATTGGTGTTTAATAACTAACACTCCCCAAATAAGAAACGCCGACAGAGCGAGATAGGGCTGGGCGAGCCAGTCAATACCACGAGCGCGTTGTTTAGTTGGCGGGTCTCTAACAACATCAAGAAAAAAAAAATGGAAGATTCATGATGTCCCTCAGGGTGCTTCCAATCTCATGACGCAGGAGCTTTTTTTTTTCCAATTTCAAATCTGAATTAATTTTTTTTTCTTTTAAAATTTACGTCATTTCCTCTTTCTCCACTGCGGCTTTCTTCTTCGATACGGCTGAGAATTGCTGAGCTCCCCCTCCACACCCCACCCCGCCCGCTAATGTTTAAATAATGTTCTACTAAGTAATTCCGATGCAATATTTAGACTAAACCAACAGGACATAAAACAAGTATTGCCCGGTGTGTGTCCTGGGTGAACGCTTCCATCACCCACTCAACAAAGATACAAGAAATGTGTAGCATTGAAGAAAGAAGGTCGTCTCGTTCATAAGCTAGACAAAACTGACCACGGCTATTGATTTTTTTTCTCGCCACGGCGGCCAAAGAAGATTGTGCGAGAGTAAGAAAGAGAAATGGAGTTCTGTAGGATACCAGTTACAGATACGTGTAGACCAGGAAGTGTTCTGTGGGCCATCAGTTACCAGTGAAACCCACCTAATGAGGCCGCAGGTGTCTTGTGGGCCGTTAAGTTTTATGTCCAAAAGACCAAGACAGCTCGAGTATTATGGGCCACAAGAGGCCATAAGACCAAGACAGAGCTGGTGTAGCATGGGCCACTAGTTAGATGGCCAAAAGACCAAGACAGAGCTGGTGTATTATTGGCCACTAGTTAGATAGCCATAAGACCAAGACAGAGCTGGTGTATTATAGGCCACTAGTTAGATGGCCAAAAGATCAAGACAGCGCTGGTGCTTTATGGGCCACGAGTTATGTGGCCAAAAATCCACAACAGAGCTGGTGTTTAGCGGGCCACCTGCCAATACTATCTAACAGGACAATCAGAACTCTGTCAAAAAGGACAACCACCAGCGATGAGAGAAAAAAAAAGAAACTGAAGAGGGCGGTTCCCATCTTGTTTCAAAAAGAAAAAAAACAAAAACTGCCTTCCACATGGGAATTTACGTGAAGTTGATTGACAAACACCAAGACAGAATTGAAAAACTGGGTTAGAGGGAGCTATGTATATAAGCCGACAAAACCCACAATGATAAGTTCAGCCGTTATGTGGAGCAAGCGCTAGAGAAAAGAGAACTTGCACGAGCTGTGAGCACACAGAGTTGATCTTAGACTTACCGGTACTTGGAAGACGTGGACCGTGTCGTTGAGAAAGGTGATGCGGATGTTGACGTACTTCCCCTTGCGAGGTGACTTTGGGGGTCTGGGGTCACTCATGACCGATGCCGTGCACTGTTGACTAACATATCCTTATAGTACATCCCACCGTCAGCCGGCTCTGTTGGGGAAAAGAAAGAAATATTCGTCATTCACTGGGTAAATGTTATCTAAAAATAAAAATACGTGGAGCTGGGTTGAGAAAAGACAAAGGTTTGTGTCATTCGTTGTGTAAAAATGATCTACAACAAAAATACAAGTAGCGGTGGCAGAACAAACATCGTTTACATAATTACACGAGAGCTGATGAAGGAGTATAAAGGAAACAGACAAGCATATAATTATGACAGAAAAAAAAAACAACAACCAAAGATTTGTCCGATAACCGGTAAGTCGACTACAGAATGTGCAACACCCACCCTATCCCCATATATACAAATCAACAATGCTGCGTTCCAACATTATGCCAATCTGCCGTCATTCAACAGTAAAAAATCAATAGAAAATCTATCTACTTGCACATACCCAAAACTGTAATAAACGTAACTACACACATTTGTACCTTGGCCGACGTGGTATAACTGACGGAATGATGCAGCAAACCAGTAAGTCGCGATATTAAACAAAACATGACCATCAATAAAAGAAGATGAATACCACGCTTAAAGAACTCGGTAAAGTGGTAAAGCCAAGTGAATAATGCAATAAAAAGTTTCTGATAGTGCCATCTGTCGGCTAATGATGATGGGAAATAGGCACGCAATTGTGGTTAGTAGGTGGTCTAGAGTTCAATTAGCCAACAAGTATCTGGGATACTGATAGGGTTAAAACACAATGCCTTTCTTTGAGTATTTTGAAACAAGTAACCTAATACTAATGTAGATCTTCCTGCTCATCAGCAGGCATTGTGTACTGTCGCTATATAACAGTCGTAGAGAAAACAGACATAAACATACGCCAAATATTGCTTGATAATACAGACTTCTCAAATAGTCCACCAAACTAACTGGCACTCTCATATATTATCAAATACACGACAAGTCTCAAACATTCACACACAGAGACGTCCACAAATACCAGACATAGCTCAATAAACACAGACATCTATAAATACCAGACATAGCTCAATAAACATAGACGTCCACAAATACCAGACAGCTCAATAAACACAGACGTCCACAAATACCAGACATAGCTCGATAAATACAGACGTCCACAAATACCAGACATAGCTCAATAAACACAGACGTCCACAAATACCAGACACAGCTCAATAAACACAGACGTCCACATACACCAGACAGTTCGATAAACACAAAAGTCCACAAATACCAGACATAGCTCAATAAACACAGACGTCCACATACACCAGACAGTTCGATAAACACAAAAGTCCACAAATACCAGACAGCTCAATAAACACACACACAGACGTCCACAAATACCAGACAGCTCAATAAACACACACACAGACGTCCACAAATACCAGACATAGCTCAATAAACACAGACGTCCACATACACCAGACAGTTCGATAAACACACACACACACAGACGTCCACAAATACCAGACATAGCTCAATAAACACAGACGTCCACATACACCAGACAGTTCGATAAACACACACACACACACAGACGTCCACAAATACCAGACATAGCTCACTAACACTAACGTGTTAATCAATCAGGACTAGAGCCGATTGGGGCTTTGATCTTCACTTATAATTGTGACAAAGAGACATTATTAGTAAATGAAAGCTATTACCACCCCCTCCCCCTTCCCAACCCTAGAGTAAATACATTTGTGTCACGGGGCGCCGATAAATGGGAGTTGGGCAAAGCTGGCGAAGCTGCTTAATGCATGCCACCCTGGCCAACTGGCAACCTAGACCACAGCACTCACCTCGGATACCACCTGGTAGTGACTCGACCAGTTTAGAACTGCGACATTGATACCATATCAAGAATAATCAAACAGTACTTACTTCACAGATGCTCAAAGTCTCATCGTTTTAAAGGCGACTGAAGTGATCTAACCTCTGCACCCCCCCCCCCGGGTAATGTCATCCAAGATTGGACTCAGTGATAAAACGGTTGACCTAGTGTTCAGTCACATCATGTCGGTGCATAACAAGCATGATATAAGCCGTCATGGGTAACCAACCTGTCGCCTATATGACAAAATTGTTTCCAATGGATCACAAGCGGCACTGGAGCGCCCCCCCCCCCCCCCACTCTCCATCCACGCGGGTCGATAGTGCATGTCGTAACACATTCCTATCTTCACTGCATGTTAGGAACACGATCGTGGCTCCACCGATGGGGATGGTTGGCCAAGATCGTGGTTGAGACTTAAGCGGGTTGCTCTGTGATAGGGGCAACACCGGGTTGGTTGGTGGCCGTGAATCTAGACTGGTCGACAATGGGTCATTTGATCACAATCGTATCTTGACAGCGGGTTGCAATGATCGTTCTGTTAGAAAGTGTTGGTCGACCATGACCGCAACATCAACACCGGGTTACACAAGATCGTACACTCGATACAGGTTTCACACAACTGCTATTCTTCTCTATGTACGCGATTGTGGGCCGGCTAATTAAAACGTTTGGAATATGAAACTGGCGAATTAAAATGTTTTGAGCGGCCGTGGAAGAGAGCGGCGAGGGTGCGTGTGGCAGGAGGGCGGTAACTTGATCTGACCGTGAGACAAGATGCCACCAGACAGTGTGACTAATTGTTTCCTTCCATCTTTTAAATGTGTCTTAAAATTTCAGACGCGATCGATACCGTTACGTGTTAGCCGGCCGTTTCAAAACTGAAGGAGTCTGTAGAAGTGAGACCGTTTAAAAACAGAGCCTGTATAAGTGAGACCGCTTAAAAAACAGAGCCTGTAGTAGTGAGACCGTTTAAAAACAGAGCATGTAGTAGTGAGACCGTTTAAAAACAGAGCCTGTATAAGTGAGACCGTTTAAAAACAGAGCCTGTAGTAGTGAGACCGTTTAAAAACAGAGCCTGTATAAGTGAGACCGTTTAAAAACAGAGCCTGTATAAGTGAGACCGTTTAAAAACAGAGCCTGTATAAGTGAGACCGTTTAAAAACAGAGCCTGTATAAGTGAGACCGTTTAAAAACAGAGCCTGTATAAGTGAGACCGTTTAAAAACAGAGCCTGTATAAGTGAGACCGTTTAAAAACAGAGCCTGTATATAAGGGGGACTGTTTAAAAACAGTCTGTAGTAGTGAGACCGTATAAAAACAACCTGTATATGAGGGAGACAGTTTAAAATACAGCCTGTGTAAGACTAATTAAAAAAAAAAGGGTCTGCATAAATGAGACTCGTTACAAACAGAACCTATATACGTGAGACGGTTTTAAAATAGCTATATAAGTGAGACAGGTTTTAAACTAACCTTATATAAAGGAGACAGGTTTTAAACAAACCTTATATAAGTGAGTCGGTTTTAAAACAGAGCATATATAAGTGAAACCGTTTTAAGACAGACCTTATATATGTGAGATTGTTTAAAAACAGAGTTTATATAAGTGAGACAGGTTGTAATCAGCCTATCAGAAAGCCTGTTTAAGTAAGGCTATTTAAAACACTGCCCATGTAAGTAAGCGCGAGAAACCCGAAGTAAAAAAAAACTAAAACTTCAGGCTGTGGGCCTGAGGAAGCCAGTGACAGGGCCTGAGTCCTGTCTGAAGCAGAGAATGACCGTTTGAGTGGCTCCTCCTTACAATTTACGAGCTTCATTGTTTAACCAGACCGACACATTTTCCCCAAAGAACGAGACGCCGATCACGTGACCTAGGCTTTATCAGCTGATACTCAGAAGGTCATCAAATAGTTCTATCAGTACACCTGGTAAGGACCTTTGACCTATGTTTAAGCTTGTGAGATAAACCGTTGCAGAAAGTGAGGGTTTAATAATTGTATACAAAAATAACAATCTATTTCCAATTAAAAATAACAACGATTATCAAAAAATATACCCGAAACACATTTCTCTAATAACCTACGAAACTGCGTTGAACGATGTATTTAATAAGGTCCACATTGACTTTTGGCTAATACATCTTAATAGGTCATTCAACATAACAGATAAGAAAAACAAAACAAAAAATAACTTTCCCCAATAGTTTTAAATGACTTATCCGCTGCAAATCTGAATTTTAACAAGATTCCGTGGCTAAATTCGTCCACTTGAATTGTTTAGAGAAAAAAGTGACTTCAAAATAACATACTATTAACATATAGACGACTTTCATACAATAGTAACATTTTGTCATTTAAATACCAGTAGACAATACCAAACTGCAAGGAAAAATCATTAGCATTGCATTATCTGTGCTACTAGTATTAAAAAGTTATGAATGAAATGACTTCTGTCAATGTCGAAAATGACTGCTTTGTGTATCCATATCGATAAGAACGCAGGTTTAGCCAAAAGTGACAACACTAGTCTGTAATAGAAGACATTTGCCTGGATGTCAAACAGCGTTAGAGCAAATCAATGGTTGTTCTGTAGTAAAACAAGCTCCATCGATTTGAGTATAAACCAGCGGACTTTGTCACACAATATATAACAGTTGAGTTAAAATGGTATTCCCCATACGTAATCGAGTAGTGTTAAACAGTTACTGGTCTTTGCCCCATATAAAACAGTAGGGGAACAATCGGCCCGTGCCCCATTGGTACGCTAATATTTATGCGATTTTCGTGTAAACGGAGTAAAAGGGTGTACATAGCGAGAACGACAAGCAGGGGACGTAAACCAACATCACGCCCAGGACTGTCATTATCCTTGCTTGATTTCTTTAAGTTGACCCCTCCAATACTCCGGTCTAAATAGACAAACACGCACTTGAATGGGAGAACCCGGGTTCCAGTCCAGCCTTTGTGACGGTGGAAAACGGCAAATGGAAAAAACGTGTCGGAGGAGGATTCGATCAACACCAGTGTTTCTTCCAGACTTTTTTCTCCGGGGGGGCACTTGAAATCTTCGGGGGGGGCGGTAAACTTTCTTCGGGGGGGGCGGACACTGTTAAAAGTATATATTTTCTATATAAATTATATAAATTTCATTTCGTTCGGGGGGGCGGTAAAAAATTTTCGGG